GATGATGATGATGATGATGATGATGATGATGATGATGATGATGATGATGATGACCCCCTTCGTTAGGCTCATTTCCCTGCTAGTATACAGTGTTCATTTAGTTTTTCTTTCTGTTGCTCCTGAGGAAGCCCACGAGGTGAAACGTTGAGCTATTAAACAAATTTAAACATTTTATATTGTTATTTTATTTTGTCTGAAATTCAAACAAGACTCTCCCTCCTACTCTGCTTATCAAACAATGATGATGATGGTGGTGGTAGTGATGATGATGAGGAGGAGGAGGAGGAGGAGGAAGAGGAGGAGGAGGAGGATTTGTTTCCCTTACTTATATATATGCTGACTGAATATTTCTCAAGACTTTCCTTCACCTCGTTCTCTCATTAGCATTTACATCATGCATTAATACTTATTTTGTCCCATTTTATGCAGATGCATTTACGCGAGAGCCATTCGCTGTTTTCAGAAGCCCTCTAGTGAGGAGAGATGTAGACCTATTGTGAAGATGCTGTGTTAGTCAGTAAAAAAAAAAGGGGGGTGGGGGGTGGAGGGGTTGTTTCTTTGCCAGCAGCTCATGTTTGGTACACACACCTGTCTTATTTTCTCAGTAAGTTCTCATGTTGAGTGGGTTTTACCGCGTTTGTATTAGGCCTACTTTTGTGTTTCTTTTTTTGCTGTTTTTGCAGTTTGTTCATTTTAGGTCGTTTCAAGTTCGAAATTGCGCCAATTTGTTATTTCAATACTTACTCAGAGATTCGTAACTGAATCTTGTCTATAATGTACAATCGTGTTATAATGTAGACTAGGTGGAATGCAATAAAGGGGTTTGCTTTTCTTTAAACGTTTTGATAATGATTTCCATCTACTGAGTTAGTTTTGGTAAAGATAATATGCGATGGAAAAATACTAATTTTATAAAGAAATTTTGATATGGTATTATATCAGAGTTGAGATGGTTTCTGACGTTTTGCAAAAGTATGTACATGAAATGGTTTCTATTGATTATTGAGTATGTACTACAGTCTATCAGGCACACAGCGAACCACGAACATAGTATTGGGAACACAATGGCAGGTCTCGAAATATTTCTTATATAGGCCTAGTGTTTTCTTATGTAGTGTATATTCTCCTGCATTTAGAATAAGAACAGGAATAAATAGGTAAAAAAACAAAAAGAATACCCCCCCTCCACACACACACACACACTCACACTCACACACACACACACCACACACACACACACACACACACACACACCACACACACACACACACACACACACACACACACACACACACACAGAGAGAGGATACTTTATATGCATGCTAGACTGTATTTTCCAGGGATTTTTGTTTTGTACTGTCATTTACTTACTTTAAAACATTTCCATTTGTTACAAACTGCATGGGTGGATTTTGTAGTAATGTTTGTAGAAAATCTGTACCAATCAATTAATGTTTTAAAACAGAAATAGCCTTAGCTTACGCTTAAGATGTTTTTGAAATGCCCTTATGGAAACTACTTAGGCCCTATCTATTAATTATTGTCTTGGAGTTCAGCTGTACTGAAGTAAAAGTTTGTACGATTCATGATCCACTTGGTTGTTCTCGACAGCGGGAGAAACGACAATGGATGAAACCACAGCAGATCAAGGTAAGCCGTCATCTCATTATGATCTGTGCCCCTCATCTCAAGCAGCTTCCTAATCTACTACCGCTACTCTCTGTGCATTATGATCTGTGCCCCTCTTCTCAAGGAGCTTCCTAATCTACTACCGCTACTCTCTGTGCATTATGATCTGTGCCCCTCATCTCAAGGAGCTTCCTAATCCTTGCGTCTTCTACCGCTACTCTCTGTGCATTATGATCTGTGCCCCTCTTCTCAAGGAGCTTCCTAATCCTTGCGTCTTCTACCGCTACTCTCTGTGTATTATGATCTGTGCCCCTCTTCTCAAGGAGCTTCCTAATCCTTGCGTCTTCTACCGCTACTCTCTGTGCATTATGATCTGTGCCCCTCTTCTCAAGGAGCTTCCTAATCCTTGCGTCTTCTACCGCTACTCTCTGTGCATTATGATCTGTGCCCCTCTTCTCAAGGAGCTTCCTAATCCTGTCTACTACCGCTACTCTCTGTGCATTATGATCTGTGCCCCTCTTCTCAAGGAGCTTCCTAATCTACTACCGCTACTCTCTGTGCATTATGATCTGTGCCCCTCATCTCAAGGAGCTTCCTAATCCTTGCGTCTTCTACCGCTACTCTCTGTGCATTATGATCTGTGCCCCTCTTCTCAAGGAGCTTCCTAATCTACTACCGCTACTCTCTGTGCATTATGATCTGTGCCCCTCATCTCAAGGAGCTTCCTAATCCTTGCGTCTTCTACCGCTACTCTCTGTGCATTATGATCTGTGCCCCTCTTCTCAAGGAGCTTCCTAATCTACTACCGCTACTCTCTGTGCATTATGATCTGTGCCCCTCTACTCAAGGAGCTTCCTAATCCTGTCTACTACCGCTACTCTCTGTGCATTATGATCTGTGCCCCTCTTCTCAAGGAGCTTCCTAATCTACTACCGCTACTCTCTGTGCATTATGATCTGTGCCCCTCATCTCAAGGAGCTTCCTAATCCTTGCGTCTACTACCGCTACTCTCTGTGCATTATGATCTGTGCCCCTCTTCTCAAGGAGCTTCCTAATCCTTGCGTCTACCTCTGTGGCTTTGTGTCACGACGTGGTGGGATCAGGCGCTTGTCAATTTTTGGGCATGTGGAGTAATTGGTTTCATCTTAAAGCATGTTTAATTGTCTTGCTATCGGGGAAAACTTGCCCATCTATCTTCAATAGAAGTCTAGATATTTGACTCTTGATATTGGAGAAGGTGGAGTCGCCTGATTGCAAAGATAGAATTAGCGAGAAAATGGCCGTCAAAGTTTGGTTATTTCCGTAGCTTGATAGTCCGTAGAAACTGAAAACTTACATTTTTTGGGGTGCCTTTTACCAACGTTTTTCAGTAAAATCCACCTAGAAATTTGTTCTTAATTGAACAACAATGGTGTTAAGAAAAAACACAAAAATACACTAAAAATTTCTAAACTGGCCGAAAAATGCCAATTTCTTCAATTTCATTATTTTGATGAGCGCCGCCTGATTTCACCACGCGGCCTCGACATCTTTTTCTGTACCCCTCTTCCTTCCCTGGTGGCCGAGGGGTTAGTGGTCACTCAAGAACTGAATGTTAGAACGTCCAGGTGTTGCTGTTGATGTTATAATACATCTGAAATACATCATGTCGTGCTCTTCCTCGGCAACACCCGGTGACGTGCTGCTGTACTGAGTGTTTTTGTATTACAGTGCAGTCTCTCTACATGGCGTTATAGAGAGTTGTCGTTATAGAGAGGCAATCAGTTATATTACTAATTATATTTATTTTATTATATATTTGGCAACTGGAAACACCTGTGTCATTTTTCCCATAAAACTGCCACAGCTACAGAGTTGAAAGTTGGCGAGTACATGCAAAAAGATAGATAGGTCCCCATGACGGAGCCCGATTTTCGATTTATTCATTTCCTGAATTTAGACAAATATATTTTACAAAATGTTCCCGTCCTTCTTTGGCCTTTGTGATTATTCCATTGAGAAACGAAACAAATCTCTGCGTAGCTGTCCTTCACATCGGAAGTGCCAAAAGTGATATTTTGCGAGGTGCATTTTGTTTTGAGAGTATAGATCTTCTAATTTTTTGCATCTCTCAAGATTTATTGCTCCATTCCAGTAGATTGTAAATATAGTAGGCCAATGACTTTCAGTTGATGTTAATGCACCGATCCTTCCTTTCATCGAAAGGGGCCCAGCTAGTATAATATAAGGAAAAATCGGGACCTGGGTACCATGTCGCTATACAGAGGATGTCGTTATATCAAAGGTCGTTACAGAGAGGCTGCACTGTATTTATTACTTTGAGATCAGTTGTGTGAAATTCATTTCCCAAGTTGGATGGATGAAAGTATCGCAAGCTTTTTTCCTTCTTTAGCTTGTGAGAAACTCGCAATTTATTATATTCTATCGCATTTATATTAATAATAATAATAATAATAATAATAATAATAATAATAATAATAATAATAATAATAATAATAATAATAATAATAATGATAATAATAATAATAATATATAACTTTTATATAGCGCATTTCCAAAAAAGTAGCTCAATGCGCTTTACAATGGAATACCCATTTTTCAAAAACCTTTCTTACTACTTCCTTTCTTCTCATACGATATACATTAATGCACACTCACACACACACACACACACACACACACACACACACACACACACACACACACACACAGGCACGCACGCACACACACACACAGACTATTTTCATCCAGACTTAGGAACAGAACAACTATAATAATGAAAAATAACGTTAAAAGCTTATGAAGGATAGGCCTGTAGGAACAGAAAATGTTTAAGATGTCTTTTGAAGCTATCAAGTATTTTTATTTGTCTTAGTTTCATGGGTAATCTGTTCCACATAAATGGACCAAGATATGAGAAAGATCTCTCTCCATATGATTTGTATGATTTTAAAGGTGTCACAAGTAGGGTGTTATCGTTTGATGATCTTAGGTTTCTCCCTGGCTTATATTATCTTTTTGAATGTGAGTAATTCGGCAAACGAGAGCGTCACTCGTAGGTCCTACTTCTTTTCTGTCCATATCCGCAGCTCAGACGTGAATTTCTCTAACGCTCTGCCGGTGTGCTTGTTTGAAATTTACAAGTTGGGTGGTTGGTGGGTGCTCAGGTGCAGTTTGCTTCTTTTCTTATCAATCCCCTATCGGTGGGTGTTTGGCGAGTGCTCTGTTGTGGTTTGCACCTTCTTTCCTACCAAACATCTATCGTCTTTATCTCCCCCTCCTTCTATTTGTGTTTGTCACTCTCTATTGTAACACCTCTAATCTTCGGTGTATGACCTTATCATGTTGCAAGTGCCGTACAGCTTTTACGAAAGAGGGAATTTACTCGTTAATCCAATATGTACGTTAATTTGTAATTATAGCAGTCTGTCAAAATGATTTTTTGAGAAATAATGAAAGTTTCAAAGAGATCTTCGTACTATGACCCCAGGCGTACGGATAGGGTTAACTCATTAAGGACGAAGCGGACACATATGTCCGACAGCAGCCGATCAAAAGAAACGTTTTGGGATATTCCAAACCATCATACAACAGTCTGGAAACACAGGTTTGCATATATTATAGTAAACTGTTATTGCTTATCTGTCTTTTTAAGATAAATGAAAGAGAATTGAAAACTACGTACGAATAACTAAGTTATGCTTCTTCTAGTACTCCGGAACATCGTGTCTTCAAGTGTTCGAATGAATAGAAATCGCGTCCGTCGGCTTTGCATAGTATGCAGTCTGAGTCTGTCAAAATGATTTTTTGAGAAATACTGAACATTTCAAAGAGATCTTCGTACTAGAAGTATTCTAAAATGTGAAGAATACAACCATAGGGCGTACGGATAGGGTTAAGAGACATCTTGCCTGTCCTCAGACACCACACAAGATATCACAGCCGACACAACGCAGGATGTTACGGCAGCCGATGCTACAGAGGCGGACGAGACGCAGGCGAACGAAACGACGCAGGGTGACACAACGCAGATGGACACAACACAGGTGGAGACCACAGAGGGAGAGACAGGGGAAGGTGACACTACGGCCGGTGACACGACTGTCGCTGACACAACTATGGCTGACACGACCGCCGGTGACACGACAGTTGCTGACACGACAGTCGCTGATACAACAGTCGCTGACACAACAGTGGCAGAGGGTGACACGACCACGGCAGACGCCACTGCCACAGACGACACGGCCGGAGCGGACGCCTCAGGGGAACCCACGTCTGCAGAACCTGCCTCCACGGAGCCGACTCAAGGTGAACAGGGGAGGGGGGGCTTCTGTGGGTCTGCTGGGCCGTAGTTGTTGTTGTTGCTGTTGTTGTTGTTGTTGTTGTTGTTGTTGTTATTGTTGTTGTTGTTGTTGTAATAGTAGTTGTAGTAGTAGTAGCAGTTGTTGTACTTGTTGTTGTTAGTGGTGGTGGTGGTGGTGGTGTTGGTGGTTGTTATTGTTGTTGTTGTTGTTGTTGTTGTTGATGTCATTTTAGTCGCTGTAGTTGTTTTTGTTGTTGGTGTTGTTGTTGTTATTTTAGTCATTGTTGTTGTTACTGCTACTGATATTCATGTTGTTGCTATTTTTGATGATATCAATAATGTAATTGTTGTTGTTGTTGTTGATGTCATGATGTTGCTGTTGTTGTTGTTGTTGTTGTTGATGTCATGATGTTTTTGTTGCTGTTGCTGTTGTAAATGTCATTGATGTCATTGTTGTTGTTACTGCTGCTGTTGCAGTTATTGCTTTTCTGCTGTGCCAATGCTTCTGCTTTATCAGCTGGACTTAGCACCATATTGTTATACAGGTAATGGTAGGCCTACATATTATGGATATGAGGTAATTGTTGAGAAATAGCGGAGGACAGGAAAATAAAATAATATGGAGGAAAATGATAAAGGAAAAAAACTATAATGCTAGAGAGCAGCCTTAGAAACAACCAGGCTGAGAAGAGCCATCGACGAAAGGAAAACAGCGGAAATACAGAGATTCGATCTACGTCACTGACATGCAAGCACTGCGACAGAATCTGCGCTTCAAACATTGGAAAAATTAGCAACCAATTATAATTACATAATAATGTATTTTCATTCAGACATTTTATCCAAATGCTACTCCAAAGGTTGCGTTTTGAGGGAACGGACCTTTTGACAATTGAAGAATTATGAGAGGCTTTGAATAATTTTGAAAAAAAAAGTACCTAGGACTATCAATTACAAAATATATTTTAGGGCCAGAAAGATCACTTATCAAAGTGGCCAACTTCTTTACAAACTAGTGCGCATGCTACAAAAATTGGGACATAGCTGAAAATCTTTTTTTACGCGCTGTGTTGAGTAAAACCATTCTTTGGATTTATCTAAAATTATATACGTGTAACTTCAGTGTGGAGGAAAATATTAACCGAAAAAATTGTACAGTTTGGTTTTTTAAAATCACCCTGTACTTACTCAAACTGACTGTATGAAGCACGTGTGTTGACTAGTCTGGTCAAGAGCTATATATTATATAGTTATATAATTAGTTTCTTTCTTCCACTGCACAATTTATGTCACATTTTCACAAATTGGTTTCCTGTTTCCTTCTTTGTTCCTCAACATGTGCCACCAAATAACAGCCGTCAGTTATCAGTGCAGTGTAAATAGGAATGTATTTACTTGAGACTGCTCGGGTGATTTGCTCGAGGTATTTGCTTGCTTGCTGATGTACTTTTAAAGAAAAAACCCAGGGAAGATAATGACATTCACAATTGATAGGCCTATATATACTTTATACACACTAAAGTGCTTTTTAGAAATGCCTTGCTGGTATCAAAAAGATCAAATGAGTGTGTATAGCTATATATTTTATGCACCCTAAAGTGCTTTTTAGAAATGCCTTGCTGGTATTAAAAAGATCAAATGAGTGTGTATAGCTATATATTTTATGCACCCTAAAGTGCTTTTTAGAAATTCCTTGCTGGTATCAAAAAGATCAAATGAGTGTTTCGTTTGTTTCTGCTAAAGCATTCACAACAGCGTTATTTTGTTGGTTCTATTTGGCAACTTTTGTCTCAAGCTTTTGTCTCACTGAATGTAGGAGAGGGCAAATGACAGGTCTTGAAAAAGAAGTTTGAGAAAACAAAAGCTGGCAGAGATCAAGTAAAATATAAAGATGTGCCATTGATGTCCTGGTATGTTTTGGCACAGAATTCCAATACATAACAGCTCAAAAATACCTCTTGCTTGGGCGTGCTAAGCAAAGCCTGTGTGGTACTCTGAGGTATCGAATAAGGGTCCTGCCCTCCCCCCCCCCTCTCCTCCCCCGCTTCTTAATTTTCAGTTTTTTAACACCCC